ACTTAAAATATCGAAAAATATACAGCGCGCGAATTTTAAATGAGAATTTCCGAAAACTTTTCAGTCTTAATGTAGCTCCAGTTAGCAAATAACTGGAGGTTTGGACACCAAAACATACAAATTCAAACCGTTGGCATGGGTCGATAACCATATAACTGGATGGTGTCATGACAGTGACAAAACTCCAGTTAGCAGATAACTGGAGGTTTGGGCGCTTAAAAAATTCAAAATAAAAATTAGTGACATATTATATCTATATTGGAAAATTAATTTTTGTCGTAGAAGTAGTGTAATATAATATATAGGTTTCTTACATTCATGCAGATGAAATCTCTTTACTAATAGAGTAAATTAACTATTCTTACATCTTCTTTTAATAAGGACACTTTTAATATTTAATAACTAAAATTAATCTATTGAAACTGATAGAACAATTATTGGACTATTCTCAGGAGGTGTTTATTTTATGATTTAAATAAAAATGATGAATAATGAAAATAATGAATTTTTATATAACTTACCTATCAAAATTGTGTGATTTAATACGATTTTTTATCTCCTCACTAACCTCAGTAGCAACTCTCAGTGCGATTTTTGGGGAATACGTGAATGTAGCGAAAGCAGTATCACAAACACTTTTTATAATTTTTTCGCAGATTTCTCTATTCAATGGTTTAATAGACTCCAGACGATACGTTGGCATGAACTTCATTACAGGCTGTCATATATAATAGGAATAGAAATGTCAAAATACATTACTATAACAGAACATTTTAACAAATAATCTTACTTTTACTGGTGAAATCGTTAGAGGTACGTTGCTTTTTCTACGAGGAGCAATCGAAACGTCATCCTAAAATGAAAAAATCTGTTTGAATCTGCAATATCAAATATCATATGTAAGTCTATACATTTTATGATATATGCGTGATTCAATAACATTTACCAATCAGTGCTACCCTTGAAATATTAATTTATTGCTTTTCCTATCAATCAAAATTGTTTTCCCATAAAAATAAATTAAATTTATTTATACCTTTCCACGTGTTTTGCCTAAAAAAAATATTGCCAAATCCGACCAACTGGCTGCCATTATAAGTAATAACGTATTAGTAACCTAAATCTTAATATTTTTATAACATTTTGTTAAATCGATAATATTATATATAGAAAAAACATTTCAGAGGACTCGTAGGTAACTTAAAAGCTTTAACCACATTTTAATGTAGAAATAAGGACGAATATTTAATTGTCTCTCTTAATTCGCGTATAATTTAATTGTGTGCTCTTCTCCAAGAAGTTTATTAACTTCGTGTTTATTTGTGAAAATATAAGTGCATAAATTGAATGAAATCTGTTTTATTGCCAATAAAAAATAATATGAAAATCATTTATATAGACATCGAAAAGTGCTACATACATGTTGTGAGTATTTACTCAGTAAGTTAGTTTCACATTTGAAGTAGAATTTCTACTTAAAAGCGTATCTAATGTCATTTATGTTGTCTTCAGTCGTATAATTGTGCTTTATATTGCAAACAATCAAGAAATTATTTATAGTTTTGTAGTGATATTTTGAAGTCTTATATCTGTCAGTCATAAAAATACCGTCTTCGTTTTGGGTATATAAACAATGCGTTTTATTGTTGGAAGTTCTAGTTGCAAGTGCTTCTTTATATATTTACTAATATATAAGTATCTGTACTTTATTTTTTATTTAAATAGAAAGAACTCGACATAAACTTGAAAATGATTTCACATTTTATTGATAGTTTCCTCTTCTATATCAAGACTTGTTGGTTTAAAATTGGAAGCTTCAAATGATATCGTTGTTAAACAATTACTTATAAGATCTAAGTGACAGCAAATCTTGTAGTAAAGACTAAAGACGCGATTTAAGCCCTAAAAATGGACCTATTGTGATAAGAGAAGAGATAAAAATGAACCTATTGAACGAGAATTAAAATTATATATTTATTAAAGCTTTAAAACAACATAGCGTTATTGAGAATGACGGCCTTATAATTTACGAAATATATTTGCTTAAAATTTAATTAGTTCGCTAATATATAATTTAAAATTATTTCTACAACCAAATTTAATGAAATCGCGCTAAGAATTATACAAATATCAGTGTTTATATTCTGGAACCACACGCCTACGATGGATAATTATCGCTTAGCATTCTCATTGAAATTTCTTTTTTAGCAAAGCAGTGCAAAGTTGTGGTTTTTAACATAACAACAAAAAATATTAACAAGTAAAAGAGATTCTCTTATTAGAATCGGTTTTTTTTATATTAGGAACTAAATTATAGAAAATATTTATACTCTATATTAGCAAAAAAATTTATTGACAAGTACAATAATTTCAAATATGAAAACTTGGGTGTAAACTATAAATTTAAACAGTAGATGCATTCCAATATTAACAGATTGGTACAAGTTTAGTGTATTCGTGTAGAATATATGTATCAGATAACTTTTAAGAAGTATATTAATATTTATTTGACCCATAAGGTACAACTCATATGTGATCAAATTCAATACTGGGAAATACAAAAATAGTTTACGTTAGTCGGTACGTATCGTAAGAACTTAAGTCAAAGCGAAATGCACAACCAACCACACCTGAGTATTTCGTTTTGGCTTAAGTTTTTACGGTACGTACCGCCTAATAGAGCCTTAAAATTTTCCTTACTCCTTATATTGTGCACATCTGTTACTTTCGGCTCTGTACTGAAGTTACAATTTGTTATATGGACAATATGACTCAACATAGTACAATTCTGTCTAGTGCTCCTACTCACAATTTTTTTCAAATAAGAGAAGCGAGAACCTTACGCCTACTACCTACGTACATCTAGTATTGTGCTCGCTAATAAGCTTTTGTTGTTTGTTATGTTACCTATACATCATTTTGTGAGTAGGAAGCAAACGAATGAATTGAAATAAAGTGAATGGTTGAGACGAAAAATTTGTCTAATACCAAAATTGATAAACATGAGAAGTCTTTGCTTTTGTTATTGTTGTTCCTCTTATATCTTCTTTCCTTGATGAAGCTAGAGTTAGTGTCTAAAACAGTGTCTGTGAATACTTGGGTGAACCACTGTAACAAGAAGTCCATTGAATTATGATAAGTTCATGAATTTATAGCATGCCTTTTTGACTTTTACTATATACAGATAAGAGAAGTTCAGTATGTCACTAAGTATTTATATGCTAGCTATAGAAAAATTTGAAAGACAGTATAGACATTAAAAATGTTGAACTGTTTCAAATTGATTTGAAAAAATCGATATAGAAGTAGAGGGAATACAGGATATCAAAAACAGTGGTAAAGCTAGAAGTGTAGGTTAGTTCAGTATCACAAGAACAGCATTTTGTAGTTAAGTTATTTAGATATTCCAAATTGAAACAATTGAAATGAATTCAAAAATTTAGATAAACGAATAAATAATTTATATTTCTACATTATTTAAAGGAATTATATACAGTATACATAATATATGTATATAATACGATAAAAGTCTACAGTATAAAAATAGTTTCATAAATTTCCATTTATATAGACAATATATTATATAAAAATACGTACCCCATCATTTGCCATTTTGAAGTTTGTTATTTCTGCCTAATACAATAATATGTGCCAAAAATAAATATATTAATTAATTAATTAATTATATTATTAATAAAAATATATATTAATTTTCTGAATATTTTAAAATTTTAATTTTATTTACATTAAAAATATAATGATTTTAAAATGTTTTGAAAATAACAGGTTACTTAAATTTTCGTTTCTTGCATTAATTATTTTCCAAATTTTCACATTTATTTATGCCCAATTAACTAATAATAGTCTAACTGTCACATTCATTAATCTAATTGACCAACCGAATGGACTACATCACAATAGCAACGTTGGTGCTTGTTAATTATAGAACTATTTCGAGGATCTTTAAAAGTGTGGCGTGTTTCTAATTTTTGCGGTGGACACTTATGTGTTAAACACCTAATTGTTCATTACGTTCATCTGTGTTTGCCTAGAGCTGAATAGGTGCATTAATTGGGTTCTCTATTTCTTCCTTGTTCTCATATTCATAATTTGTACAACAGATTAGTTTCAACCTAAGAGTGTGTCTATCAAATAATCAGTGATCATAATATAACCGTCCACCAAGAGATAAGTCCTCTCTTACATATGTATATATAATTAGTAACTTCGTGATTACGATTAGATAAAATAAATACACTGATAGTCAGACGAATATCACTATACACATTATTCTTATTAAAATTGATTACGATATATAATAATGTTAATTTTGTATTTCAGGTAACAATGCTAGGAGACTAAATTTCCCTTTTAACCATACCTGTCGCGGTTGTGGAAAGGGCGATGAAAGTCTCTTCCATTTGTTTTGTCTCTGTTTAGCACATGCGCGGTGCCACCTTATCACTTTAGGGGCTTTCTTTTTGAGGGTCTTGGAAAACTGCAAACCCTCCCTCTGAATAGCATCATAAGTTTTGTCAAGCTGAACTAAGTGTTTCTAACCCTTCTATGTTAACACAATGGATCTACAGGCCTAAGTTTATTCTTTGGGATCGCCGGTATCATCTAACCTATTAATGTTAAAACCAAATATGACTGGCAATACAACTGTAATTCAGATATGACCGATATTTTTTGGACTTCATTGTTCATATATGATTTTTAGATTGCAAGTACCATAGGTGTACATTGTGTCTAATGTCTCCATCACTGTGTTACAAACATCTTTCTAAACTTAATATACACTTTATTCTTAGTAATGTAGACGATGTAAGGGTTATAAAAATTGTATAACAAATTTGTTGCTTCTTTTTCCATTAATTGATTTGATAGCAAAAAATGTTAGCTAATATATTATCTATTATCTCCTATTTATAAATGATAATAATTGATTGACTCATAAAATTTAGTTACAGAAAACAAAATGTTACATATTCTTTATTTTGCATTAAAGTTTGTTTTAGCACAAAGTGTATGGATAAATATACATATATATTTTCTTATAACTAATTTTACATATACACAGTCACAGATATATAGTATATATATTTAGATATTTTTATAGTTACATACATATAATATTTTTATTTTTTAAATGTTTGGTATCCTTTTTGGTTTGGTTTTGTTTTTGTTTTTTTTTAAACATATATATTTAAACATTTAACATGTGATATAAAATTACGTTTACAAAAACTACATCAAAAACATCAAGTAAAAAATATTTTATTTGTATAAAATTAAAATCTTTTTAGTTAGTTTATCAATGCTCTTTCAGATTTTATTAATTATAAATAATTCAAATTTAGTGCTAAAATGAAAATGCCAAGAAAAAAACTAAATATAAAATCAATACTAGTTGTGCGTTAGTGTTTGAACCAAGAAAAAATTAATAAATATTGAATAGGGTCCCTTGGTTTTATGTTTACTCAACCCATTGGAACGATGGCTATATCTGCAGTTTTTTGATAGACTAAACTAATTATAACACACAAAATTAAACAAAACTATAAATGTAATAAACAATAATATTAAATAAATAATTATATTAATTTAAATAATATTAGAAAATAATGAGTATTATAATTTCATGAATTAAATATAATTATATAATAATTATAATTAAATATAATAATATTTACTATAATATACATATTAATTATATAATTTACTGTAATGCAATCGATATTAAAATCTATAATAATATAATTAATAATAATATTAAATATAATATAATAAATAATAATAGTTCATTAAGTTATTGAGCTACTTACTGCAAATATTGAATACAATATTAAATATAATATAATAATATATAATATAAAGAAAAATGTAGTAAATAATAATTTAAAGAAAGATATAATAAATAATAAAATAAAAGGAAATAGAATAAATAATAATATAAAGTAAAATATAATAAATAATAATATAAACGAAAATATTATAAATAATAATATAATAACTAATAATAATAGTTCAAGTATTGAACTAATTATAACAATCAAAATTAAACACAATTTTTAATTTGTATAAATACAATAAATAGTAATATTGAATATATAATTACAAATATAGTATTATAACAT